CCTATACCCAGAACCCTGACCCAGAAGGTCCAGCGTGAACATCTGTCCATCAGTCCACTACCCACTTTAGTCAGAGGAACCTGGTTCTGAAAATCCATCTTTGGACGTTGCCCTTCCAGGGAGGCAATACTTTGGACCAGATCTGTGTGTGCATGTTCTAGGTTCTGTTCTGCTGTTGGACCCATAGAACTAAAACCCTGATGTGTGTCTGTGTGGGACAGGGGGTCCAATCTGGACTCACTGAACCGGACCTACAGAACCCAGAGAACCTGTGTAGAGAACTCCTGTTAGAACCTTTCAGAACTTTTCTTCTTTCAGCATGAAGATTAAAACTTCCAATAAACCTGAGATGAAATATGGATAATAAATAAATATAATAATAAAGATGATAATACCAACAACATTAGTCGTCATCATCATCATCATCATCATCATCATCATCATCACGGACCCCTCCCCCTCCAGGATCCTTTACATCCTAGGCAGTTAATAAGGGTCGGTAACACGCTGTCCTCCTATTGGTCAGTTCTGTTGCCAGGCAGAGTTCCCAGAGAGCATAGATCACCTGATCTTAGATCTGCTCCTCCTGTTGAAGCTGATATTTCTGTTTGTCATCACAGTGATGAAATAATGATTCATCTTTCAGGATTCAAACAGAAACGAACCTTTATTAACACTTTAAACATTAACAACAGAAACCGGATCCGTGAATCAGATTCCAGAATAAAATCAAGCTTTGGTCCCAAATATGAGCCGACTGACGACCATAGATCTACCTGTACTAGAGCGAGCACACATAGAGCTTTAACTGGGAAAACATCTAGAGATCTGATGGGGTTCTGGTACCAGTGCCTGCTTTTAGCTCCGACCCAGTGAGACCGAAATAGAACGGTGAGCCGGTCCTCTTTGGACTCCGTCAGAACATTGTTCTGTCTCTGTGATTAACGGCCTCTGGTTCTGTCGGACCTCCTGTGGCTGCTGGTTGGGTAACGTGTTTACTGCTGCTGTCGGTTCACCACAGCTTTACCGGGCCGTCCCTCTGGACCCGTCCGTCCCTCTGGACCCTTCCCTGGGGACATTCTGGGCCTGCTCTGCTGGAAGGAAACACAGAGGAGGTTCTGGTGGGCCATCAGAACTCCTCAAGGTTCTGTAGGCAGCAAAACCTGATTCACAGCTGCTTTCATGACCCAGTTACACCTTCCAGAATGTTCTGATCCATTTAGATCGTCAGGTTAAAGGTTCTGATCCGTTTAGATCATCCAGCTGAAGGTTCTGATCCGTTTAGATCATCCAGTTAAAGGTTCTGATCCGTTTAGATCATCCAGTTAAAGGTTCTGATCCGTTTAGATCATCCAGTTAAAGGTTCTGATCCGTTTAGATCATCCGGTTAAAGGTTCTGATCCGTTTAGATCATCCAGTTAAAGGTTCTGATCCGTTTAGATCATCCGGTTAAAGGT